CAGAATTTTTGATTACGGTGAGTTATGTTTTACAGGTATTTAAACGATTTTTACGACAGTGAAAACTTTATCCTGAAGTTGGCCACTGTGATTTTTTTTTTTGGTTATCCTAGATAATTTACGCATAAGTTGCTATGTATGATAATATGAATAATTGTATTTACGTGTACCTGTGGTATAAACCTTACCTGGAGTTTACCTGGAGAGAGTTCCGGGGGTCAACGCCCCCGCGGCCCGGTCTGTGACCAGGCCTCCTGGTGGATCAGAGCCTGATCAACCAGGCTGTTGCTGCTGGCTGCACGCAAACCAACGTACGAGCCAACAAATTGGTTTAGAAAGACCCATGAACAAACACTAGGACATTTATTAGAAAACATTTCGGTCCTGGGACCTTAAGAAGTGATCAAGGTCCCAGACCGAAACGTTTTCTAATGTCCTAGTGTTTACTGAGGAGTTTTTCCAAACAATGTGTACCTGTACCTAAGTAAACTCATCTATCTCTGCCTATAGATTAAAAAAAGACAAAAACGAAGTTGACGTCAAGGTTTTTACCTTCTGCGCCTCCTCAGGGTACCACATAGGAGTCTCGAAGCCCGGAGGACAACACTGATTGCACTTCTGCCCCGTCAGGAGGAATCTCACATTGCCCTGGTTGATTGAGAGATCCCACTGGTAGTAGAAGATGACCAGACCGTACATGCTGGTCCAGCCGTGTGAACACCTCTGTGTGTGATGCAATCATAAATACTATCACCTCTGACCCCATCAATAGTTTTATCTTTACTATGTACCCCATACCCATCTTGGGAGTGGTAGTCACCCCATACCCATCCTGGGAGTGGTAGTCACCCCATACTCATCCCGAGGCTCAGTTGGTGGCGCACTCATCTCACACATTTAGTGTCCGTGGCTCTATCCCCGGTACGGGTCGAAACACTGGGTGTGTTTTCTTAAGACACCTGCTGTCCCTGTTCACCTAGCAGTAAATAAGTACCTGGTTGTTATCCGACTGGTGTGGGTCGCATCCTGGGGCAAAATTAACCTAAGCTGTCTGAAATGCTCTGCATAACCAGGCTTCCTATACAGTACATCATTGATGTCAGCTATGGTCTGTATAAGTTGTACCATGTACTTGTAGAAATAAATATTATTGTTATTATTATTATTATTATTATTATTATTATTATTATTATTATTATCCTGTGGATAGCAATCACCCCATGCTCATCCTGTGGGAGGGAGTGAAAAGAATATGAAGACAAATAAAAACTATTTACAAATTTATTGGTTGTGCTGACAGCAACTGTGAAGAAAAATACAACGAAAGTGTTACCAAGGACGCGCTTAAGCAATTTATGTTTTATTAAACACATCAATATTATTGTCGAGGAAGCTCTGAGACACTTGAGATGATCATCAGTCAATACCATGACTGGAACAGTTAAAAAGTAACCCACAGTCACAATACCATAGCTGCAACAATTCAGTAGCAGCCCCAAAGTTACCATACACTCTGCCTGGGATAATTCTCTAGTAACCCACAATTAAAATACCATCGCTGGAACAATTCATTAGTAATCCAAAACTTCACGGTACCGTGGCTAGAACAGTTTCACAAGTAATCCATCAGTTGACAAAGAAAATAGATGATATATTGGCCTGTTTTAACCCATTATCATTTTACGAGTGACAAGATAAAGGGGAGAGATGAGATAAAAAAAAAAGGTTAAAAGACAGGTAAGGTCATGTCAGGCCACGTAACGTGTTCTGAAGATTATCTAATTAGAAATGTAAGAGGCAAATATCTACAGAAGTACATGCTGGTTAAAATTCATGCTGGTGTTATGAATGAGAGGTGATACAACATTGTGTTTGTAGAGGGACTGAAAACATTATTGAGAATCAGACAGTTTTAGCAAACTAAGCAATGCTAAAGGCAGAAACGGAGTAAAAGACAAAGGGCAAACGCAGAGTAATGGTCAAGTACGACACTTTCACTCGACAAATATCAGGTGTGACACCAATGAAACGAAAACATTTAAACAAGAATGAGACGGAAAGAAAGAGAGAAAATATGGCGGTAAAATATCCAAAGTACACCTGCATCAAATTAGTCTAGTCTAGTGCTTTAAAGCGCATTAAACAACAAACTGAGTCCAAGTGAGTATAGGTCCAAATACCTACCTATAATAAAGAATAGATCTTTTACATTCAGGAGTGAATTAAAATTGACTATGATAATCTTTGACGTAGTTTTCATATAACCCATGGAGTTGGATCTGTAACCTGTAAATGCTGATGTTTAACCCAACTTGCTGCCTTTTTACACGTATGACTTCCAAAACAGAGCATTGAGCACTAATACCGGTCCTTTCCACGACAGCCTGATTAATCAGGCCATCAACTAAGAGCCCTCGTCAGAGATCCGGTGCCATCAACATGTAAGCCTTAAGATTTGGATGTTATGAAGACTTACCTGACAAGAGAAGCGGACTTTAGCCATGTCCTTGAAGATGGACCAGCCTGCAGGAATGTCATCGATAGGTCCAAAGGTCCACATGTTGGGCAGGTTCATGAAGAGTGACTCGAAGTGCTGGTTCCACACCTGTTCCAGTCCCCTGTAAGAGGAACACAGGTTTATTGGAAGACGAAGGAGAGGAGGACGTAGAAGCAGAGGATTAGGGAGTAGAGAAAGAAGCAGAGGAGGAAGACATAGAGTAAGGAGTAGAGAAGGAAGAAGTAGAGAAAGAAGCAGAGGAGGAAGACGTAGATTAAGGAGTAGAGAAGGAAGAAGTAGAGAAAGAAGCAGAGGAGGAAGACGTAGAGTAAGGAGTAGAGAAGGAAGACGTAGAGAAAGAAGCAGAGGAGGAAGTATAGGAAGAAGAAGAATCAGATGAAGAGGATGAGGTAACAGAGGAAGAGGAAGAAGAGGAACGAAACAGTGAAAGAAAGGTGAAAACATCTTTAGGATTAATACCCAAGGATAATAAAACAATACCATGTAGTCTGTTTTTATCCATGAAGGTCGTAGTGTAAGGTGCCAACCACAACAGTCATCTAACACACAGGTATCTTTTACTACTAGGTAAACAATGACAACCAGTGTAAGGAGATTTTCCCGTGCATATCTCTCGCCCAAAAATCGAACCCAGGCTCTATCCGTTATGAAAATAAGTTTTATCACATAGCTGTAGAATACTTGTAAAGGCTAAAAGTGCAACGTAAATTTGAAAATCTGTAAACGTGGATGATGATTTATATGTAAATATTATGTATTAAACGTTAGACCCTGATGCAATCTTGGTGAATAAACGTGTTAGTCCTCGATGCAATCTTGGTGAAACATTTAAGAGTGGCTCATGAGTGTTTGTCCTTGATACAAAGATCCTGTTATAACATATACATGTGGTTCATGCGAGTGCCAGTCTTGTAAAACAGACGCTTTACTAAACATTATCATAGTGAACCATGAATCTTTCACAAGATAGAGCATCCACATTTAATTCTGGAGGTCCCGCAAATTTCCTGCGCCAATTCTTCAGCAGGGAATATTAACACGGGTTCCTATTGCAAATTCGTGCCGAAACACCCAATTATGGCCTCGATGATACCAGATTAAATTTCACTGTCAGACCAGTGCTGACACATTATTTACACTATGGCGTCTCCTGTATCATTCCGCGGCCGCTGCACACTCTCCTTCACACAAAATTTCTTGATGGGTCAAATCAACGTCACAGTTTAATATACATTATATTATTCATATTTATACGTGCTGAATTTAGGAAAATTATAAAAAATCCACAATTAATAATGACCGAAGTGTACAAATAGAAATAAATTAATGAGGGTATAAATAGTTTCTGATTATATATATCAAAAATTCTATAGGGATAAGTTTGTGTTGAGACAGAATAGTTGTAGGAAAGCCTGGTAGTGTCAGTAACGCGAGAACCTTGAGTATCTTTAAAATTAAATTAGGCCGACACAAGAGGATAAAAAAAAAGGTTGAATGTGAGCAACCCCTAACTAGTATAGTAACTAGGCCTAGTACTGCAGTACTTACCTGTTTTCATGTGATCTATTGTGAGCCCCTTAAGAAACGAGTAACACAGGTAAGGAAACACAATCCACCACTTCATCAGTTTATTAGAAAGTCAAATTTATTAGAATAAGGGCACGTAACACCAGTGAGTGTGGTGAATGTTGTGGCGAGTGCTCACGCGACTCACCACAACAAGTGTTCCTGTCGCCACCTAACTGGCGTCACCAGTCCGTCTGACTGATGATTGTCACCGAGGAACAGTAGCATAATAATATAACACAACAGAAAGGAACAGAGATTTCTACACCTGCTGTCTTTATTAACTTAGTAGTAAGTAGGTACCTGGGTGTTAGATGACTGCTGTAAGTCGCATCTTGGGGATGGTAATGCAATCTAATTAGAATTTTTTTTTTTTTATATTTTATTTATAACATACAATACATTAACAAAAGCATACAATATGAGAGCATCGACAGACAATATAAAATTCATCAATTTCTATACACTGCAATATGCAGTAATATGTCATGCAGCTGATAGGTGAATACTGCCATATACATAATTCATAACTACAAAATATAACTATTCAAGTAATACAAAATAAAGAATCCTCTGACTCCTTCCCAACTGCTAATTTCAATATCCACACACAATAATTACATACCGCAAAAATGCAAGCAGTATAACCCCCCCCCCCTATTTACCCCAGCTCACCAAAATGTACAGCATTTCACACCGTTGTTTATGTAACTTATAAACTAACCATACTAAATTAAACTTAAGAACATATTAAATTGAAAACAATAACACTCTACAGTAGTGAAAACGCCAGCTGCTGTCCTAATATTATTTATAATATACATATGTATATATATACATTAGAAACTGACTTAGTTTACAATGGGAGTCAAATCCTAACTTTATTGCTGTCCCATGCAGCATTCTCAGACTTCTACTTTTATACGCTACTACGATAGCCTTCAGCAGAAGGCATTAATTAACAATATTAAATAACTATTAAGAATGCATGAACTCAGCACTCCATGCACACCCCAATTACACACAATCGTTCTCTCTTGCACTTGTCACTCACCCACGCACATGCACACCAAACCAACATCTTTCGTTTGGCAAGCCCGTTTGGTACCCCCCCGTTTTTTTATCTAATGCTTTACACAACAATCTAAACCCACTTTCCCCCCCCTCCACACTCTAGCAACTCCCCAACAGTTATGGACCTGTAACCCTCAGTGAAAGCTCCCTCCCATCTCCTCCCATAAATTCCCCGATTCCTATTCATTGTCCTACAAAAAATCCTCGCTAAAACTCGTTTCCCCTCGTCTCCCATTATCCACCCCTCTCATTCCCACGATATGTACACGAATCCACCACGATATAAGCTACTCCCCGTGCCACATTCTCCCCCACCCCCCTATATCAAGACTCAGCGCTCTCAACACTGACACCCCAGTTCCTCCTATCCTCCTGACCACTTTCCCCAGCCATTCCCTCACACTCCCCAAATAATCGCAAAAGTATACCACGTGATAGGCTGTTTCCAACTCCCCACATAACCCACACCAACCCTCCTCTACCACACGTCTGTTTCTGAGGACTGATCCAGTAGGCAGAATCCCATGTAAAAATTTGAACATGATCTCTCGCACCCTGGGCCCTAACTTTAGTTTACCGAACAGACTCCATATAGCTCCCCATGCATACATCGGGAACAGCCCCTCAACTGGGGCCGTCTCCTCTACCCTCATATTCGATATAAATCCCTCACCTTTAATTTGTCTGGCTCGCGCGCCCACAAAAGTGCCCTCAACAAACTCTCACACTCCCTCCATTCCCCACCCACATACATTCCCCTCAAAATATCATGTAACCTTTCCATGCAAGCCCCCCTCTGTCCCCCTAATCTTTTCCACTCCCACCTGACAAAAATGCATTTCGCCCTCCTTCCCAGGTCCAACAGACCTAAACCTCCCTTCCTCACCGGCAAAGTCACCACCTCCCTCTTCATCCATTCACATCCTGAGCCCCATAAGAACCTAAAAACACTTCTAAGGATACGAGTAATCTCAGCCCTCAGCAATGGAAAAACTGCTGCTACATACCATACCTTACTGTACAGCAATACGTTAATAACAATCGCCCGTTGCAACAATGTCAAGTGATAAGGCCGCAACATCCCCAACCGATGTTCCACGCGTTCCACCATTCTCAACGAATTCGCCCCCCTAGCCTCCCGTATGGTCGCTCCATACAAAATGCCACATATTAATAACTGCCCTTCCTGCCTTCTCACCACATCACAGTCCCAATCAACTCTGTCTCTCCACTCCCCTAGCCCCATGATCTTTGTTTTCTCAACGTTTACCGTCATGCCTGTCGCCCCTCCCAAACATGCCAACCACCCCCCAACTCTCCCAATCTTGTTCCCTTCCGGACTAAGAGTGTCGTGTCATCCACGTAACCTACCACATGATGCCTAATCAAGCCCTCCCTCGACCCCTCCCCACCACACACTCTGGTCTCAACCAACCTATAAAATGGATCTTGCACACATGCAAATAATAACTGCGATAGCGGGCAACCCTGCCTCAAGCCCCTATCCATGTTCACCACACCTCCCACACGTCCATTGATCTGAATTCTCGCTTTTGCCCCTTTATACAACGTTTCAACCCACCCCACAATCTCATCCCCAAAACCTTGTTTGTTAAGGATCTGTCTTAAACCCTCCCTTTCCACCTGATCATAAGCACCCTGCCAATCAATCGCCACCATACCCCCTCCTTCCTGCGTCCCCTCAAAACTCTCAACAAACCCCTTTAGAATTCCGTGCCCCATGACCATCGACCGTCCTGGCAACCCTAGTTGACCTTTTGAAACTACACGTCCCACTACACATTTTAACCTATTCCCCAAAATCTTCGCGAACAATTTATAGTCCGCACACATGAGAGTAATCGCCCTGTAATCCTTAAGTGTACTCTGCCCCTTACCCTTGGGCACAAGCACTACGACCCCTGTACTTTGCTTCTCGCCCAATTCTCCCCCATCTTTCATTCTATTGAACAGCGTTACTAAAAAATCCCTTAACAGATCCCAATGTTTTAAGTAAAATTCACTTGGTAGTCCATCAATACCTGGTGCTTTGCCTCTGCACATGTCTACAAGCGCTCTCCATATCTCCCCCTCTTCAATCTCACCACCCAAAGCTTCCCTGTCCTTACTCCCCAGAGCTACGGGCTCAACAGCACACACCCCATCAAGATCCTCCCTATTAACTCCTTTACTTTTCCAATAATGCCCATACCACGCATCCGCGAACATACTCATCACCTCCGTTGTTTTTAACACCTGCCCCTCCCTAAACCCTTGCACCTCAGTGTGCACTTCCAAATCTGCTATTGTGGTCGCTGTTCTCCTCTGCTGTTGTCTCCTCAACACACATGCCGATGGCTTGTCCCCCCAAAGCACTTCCTCCACACCCGCCTGCACCCGCACCGCATGAAATCTCTCCTCCTGCACTTCTCTTATCCTGCTCTTCAGATCATCTATTGCCTCTGTTTGGAATACCCCTCCCACTACTCCTTGTTCATGATAGTATCCTATTCTACTTTCCAAATAATTTGTTAATCCATACTTCAGTCGATTTATCCGCTTCCCCTCACCCACGTAAAACCTACGAATCCTCTCCTTGGCCACACTGTCCCACCAACGTACAACATTATCAACCCTTTTTGCCTCCTCACTTAGCTTCCTCCACAGCGAAGCAAACCCCTCCTCCACTTCCTCATCCTCAAGGAGTCGCGTGTTTAATTTCCAGTAGCTTTCAAACCGTTTCACTAACGAGTCCCATGCTACCCCCACCACCACTGCCCTGTGATCTGAATAAATTGCTTCTATAGTGTTAAAAGACTCCACCGAAACCCCTTGCGTTATATAGATCCTATCCAGTCTAGCTGCGTATTCCCTCCTTACATACGTATGTTGCACTTCACCTATTCCACCCCAAAATGCATCTCGTACCCCAATATCTCTACACAGGTCTCGCAACACGTTTGAAAAATATCCCGCCCCCGCTGGCATCACATCAAATCTCCGTATTATACAATTCCAATCTCCCCCAATCAATGCAACCCTGGGCAGTGCTCTCAAGAAATACACCAGATATCATCCTTACAAATGCCGATTTTTACCCTCGCATCGTTCTCCGCCGGAGCATACACTCCAACAAAGGACACGCGTTCACGCATCCACCACCCGTCCACTCTCATTATTCTTCCCTCACCCCCCCCCCCCTCAAACCTTTGCAAAACAAACGGGCTTGCCTCACGAATTAAAACACCTGCTCCACCTTTTAAACGTGTCGTTGGAGTTACAAAAGCCCTATATCCATCCACCTCCAGCAATTTTCCTATTTTCAAGTTATGCTCTTGTATAAAGGCAACATCTACCTTGTAACGATACAGCAGTCCTCGCAACCATACACACTTACCACTTTTTACATAGACCATTAACATTAATTGTCATACACCTTAGGCCTGCTTACGTTTTCCACCCACCTTTCCCCACCACATTTTTCCGCTGTCCAGTAACCTCATACACACCGTCCTTGACACTCACCCCATCCCCTCCACTCCTAACCCCTTGCTGGCGTTTCTTTTTCTCTGTGCCTCTACACACACCTTCAATCCCCGCCTTTTTTCCCTGGTCTTTGTGCTGGAGTGAGGACGTCATCCGAGTCAGACGTGACAGCTGCCCGCTTCCTCGACACTTCCTCTTCCGCCATGCTAGTCTCCTGACCTTCCTCATTGTGCACCTCCACCTCTATCACCTCATTCCCCTTCTCACTACTTGGCCAAGCCGACATTACATTCCTTTCTTCAGACCCGCATGCTTCCCCTTGTCCCTGTACCTGGTCTCCCGTCGTTACCTCTGTCAAGGCTTCCTCCGATTTAGGGAACATCTCCTGCAAAACTGTCTCAAGCACGACGTCAATTTCTACGTCATTTGGTACGTCCTTTTCCGCCTCGTGGATCACATCCTCAGCAGACGCACTCAATTGCTGCACTGCACCCTCATGCTCCACCTCACGTTGCATTTCCTCCACTTCCTCACTCCACAACCGACCACGCCTACGTCCATCCTGGCGGTTCTGATCTGTCACTGTAGGTCCTCGCCTCGGAATGTCACTTCTTGGTATTCCTGGCCAGTCCTCCGCCGCACACATTCAGCCGCTATGTGATCATAACCATCACACAGTCTACAAGTTCTACGTTGGCCAGCGTAAGTTACGAGTATTTGTGTCCTAAATTCATCTAAGAACACATACGAAGGTATAGGTTGCCTCAGAGTCATCTTTAGGTTAAAACTACCTTCCGGATAACCCACATAAGCCCCTGCCGTCCACTTGCCTTGTTGAGCTACGTGTACAGTTCCAAACTTCCCGAACACACTACGTAGGTCAGCTTCATTTGCCTCGAAAGGCACATTACGTAACTTTACATACGTAAATTGACTCGAAACATCGACCATCTTTACCAGGATGCCCTCGTTAACCTCGATAGCAACATCCTGATATTGAGCAAGTAGATCCTCATACACGTGTGATGACAGCAGTTTCACGAACATTCGGTAGTTTCCATTTAAGGCTACACCGTAAAGGTCGCAATCCTCAATCCCATATGTCTCTCGAATAATCAGAGGCAACAACGTCAACGCCGAATCTTGATTGATTGTACCTCTCAGTAATTCTATGCCGACAGTGTTAATTCTGCGTCCTCACCCCAACCACCATTGTGACAGCCTGGCTAGCACTTGCGCCTGTCAGAGAGGAGTAGCAAAACGTCCACCCTCACCGGCAGCTGGGCGAGGAATCCGTCGCATCTTGGGGATGGTAATGCAATCTAATTAGAATTACTGTTGACCTTGAAATGAGCTATGGCAAGATTACAGCTCTTAACCTGTAAAAGAGCCAAGGTAGAATTACGACTCTTAGCCTTTAAATCAACTGAGACAGGATAACTCTTAGCCTGAGTTCAGTTCTGGCATGAAATTAACCTAATACTGCTCGTATTAATGACGAAACATATAAATAACTACTTGTTGTTTGAGTGCAAGTATGTACAGTACTTCCCTCTTTATGAATTAATTAGATCAAGATAATAAAACAACTAGGAAACGTGTTGTGAAATTTATATAAATGTAGCTTCATCTTTTTAAATACATTTTCCACATTCACGAAAATCATGAACCTAACTCAGTAATGTGACTACTACTGTAATGATTTATTTATCTCATAGTGATAAATACATTATATACAGAGAGGTATATATCTCTCTGTAAGATATATACACAAATCCAGTCACATAGATTATCAAACATAACAGCAATTTTCTATGATTCCTGCTTCTGTGTATATATAATGAGAATTTAGTTTAATTGCGTAGGTGTCATAAATTTTCACTTGCATAAGCACTTTTAACGAACTATTTGCTGACAGTTTCGAGAAATGTCAAGCCATCTTATGTTTGCCTGACGGTGCTCCTCGCCATGTTACCTAAGACTTAAACAATTGGCTAAATGATTGTGAGAGATGTCGTTCGGATTTTTAACCCCGGAGGGTTAGCCACCCAGGATAAGAAAGTCAGTGCGTCATCGAGGACTGTCTAACTTATTTCCATTGGGGTCCTTAATCTTGGACCCCAGGATGCGACCCACACCAGTCGACTAACACCCAGGTACCTATTTGCTGCTAGGTGAACAGGACAACAGGTGTAAGGAAACGTGTCGAAATGTTTCCACCCTCCGGGAATCGAACCCGGGCTCCGTGTGTGAAGCGGGAGCTTTAGCCACCAGGCCACCGGGCCACCTGTGAAGTGTCAGTATTTAACGTCTGGCTTGGGAACTCGCCAGACTTGTGTGATAGAGAACATTTTGAACTTTATTAAGGGTAAGCTTCTTGGTATAGATGTTTTCACTCTCTTCCTCCTGATACAGAATGTCCCGGGGGTCAACGCCCGCGTGGCCCGGTCCATGACCAGGCCACGGTGGATCAAGGCCTGATCAACCAGGCTGTTACTGCTGGCCTCACGTAAACTGACTTACGAACCACAGCCCGGCTGGTCAGGTACTGACTTTAGGTGCCTGTCCAGTGCCTATTGGTAATCCCCCTTATGTATGCTGGGGGGCAATTGAGCAATATTGGGCCCCTGACACTTAATGTGTTGTCTCTTAGCGTATTCACAGCACCCTTGCTTGTCACAGGGGATGTGTTGCACCGTCTGATGAGTCTTGCTTTCGTAGGGAGTGATTTCCATGTGCAAATTTGTGACTAGTCCCTCTACGGTTTTCCAAGTGTATATTATCATGTATCTTTCCCGCCTGCGTTCCAGTGAGTACTAATCAAATGATTTAAACCGTTCCCAGTAATTTAGATGCTTTATTGTACTTATACGTCCAGTGAAGGTTCTCTGTATATTCTCCAGGTCTGCAGTTTCGCCTGCCTTGAAAGGGGCTGCTAGAGTACAGCAATATTCCAGCCTAGATAGAACAAGCGACTCGGAGGCTTTCGTTTTTAACACCTGAACACCTTATTCGAACAGCTGAAAAAATTCAACCATAGTTAAGTATAACTGAGGAAAGGTTAAAGGTTGATGTCCCGTGGTTCGGTTGGCAGCGCACTCATCACTCATACTGAGGGTCCGGGGTTTGATCCCCTGTAGGGTGGAAACGTTGGGCATGTTTCCTTACACCTGCTGTCCCTTTTCGCCTAGCAGTAAGTAGGTATCCTGGGAGATAGTGATATACCTTAGATAGGGCTGGGCTTTGAAATGAGATGAGGTAGGATAATATCCCTTAGCCTGTGAAATTGATCTCTGTAAAAAAAATGACATGCACAGATGCCCTCTGTTCAGTTTCCATTGGGCCATTCCCAATTTTGGTTTCCATGTGATTATCTTAGAACGATTCTTCTGATCGGCTTCAAACGTTAAACTTTCGTGTATTCCATTAGAAACAATGTTATTGTCATGCATGAATAGTATGTAATACCGACAAGATAAAGAATTAGACACATGCGCAACATCTGGGTATCTTTACTTGTAGACGTTTCGCCATCCAGTGACTTTATCAGTACAATACACGGACATAATATGAAGACTGTAGAAATGTATACAACAGTTAATTGAAGATGAGGTAATGAGTCCCTCAGCCTAGGAGTAGGTGATGACTCTGAAGATTCTTCAAGACTACGGTGCTCGTCACCTACTTCTAGAGTGAGGGACTAATTACCTCGACTTCAACTGACCGCTGTATATATTTCTACTGTCTTCACATTATCTCCATGTATTGTGCTGATAAAACCGCTTTATAGCGAAACTTATACAAGTAAAGACACCCAGATGTTGTACATGTATCTGATTCATCATCTTGTCGGTACTGAATACCACTGATATACAGCTTTCAAATATATGTCTAATTATAAGAACACATAAAGAAGACATTGCCTAAACGTTGCTTGGTTCTCTGTACTTTGAGTTACTGATGATGTTCACTCCCTTGTGTTTTTGAAACTCTCTCGTTCCTTGATGTTGGTGAGGGGCTCTTGATTTAGGGAATTGGATCTGTGCTCCAGTTCCCCGAATTAAGCCTGAATGCCTTCCACATCCCCCCCCCCTTAGGCGCTGTATAATCCTCCGGGTGTAGCGCTTCCCCCTTGATTATAATAATAATAATATTTTTGAACCCATATATTGAAGTCGCCTCCATTACGTCCCCTCGCTAATGCATTTCACTTCGCTGTCCTCACATTGAATTCTTTTTTGGTTTATTACTATATGAACCAAAACACTTCTTATTTTGGGAATATATCAGCCCCTTCCTTTTCCCCATTTTTCTTTAAAAGCAATATTCTTTTAATTCTTTTTATTTGAAATGAGTAATCACTGTTAATTTGTAGACCTCATCAGATGACCTTATTATTTGTTTTCAATACCCAAGTTGAAGAGTGAGCACATGGGAGTAAGACACAGGGAAACGTTAGGCAACTTTATTCGGAAAAATTGCCTAACTTTTGCCCTGTGTCTTACCTACCAACCTGTGGGTTTTGAACCCTTTTTTGGTTCACTATCACACTTGGGTATCTTTATGCAAAACATTTCGGTTGCACAACCTCATCAAAATTTATGGCCCACCCTGGACCCTTTATTGCCCCAAATCACAAATTTTTGTGACCAGATTACAGTACCTGAGTTTTTTCCCTTCGTAACTTGCCATTTTTTTAAAAACTTTGTGGCCCAGTCTCTGGACCTTATGAACCGTGAAACCATTGACACCCCCCACAGGATGGTAGGGGGTGCATAAAAAAGATTTTTAAAAAAATAAAAAACAGCAGCGTTCTTCTGTACGCTTCTTTATTTTATTTTTTTCCGAGGAAACTTTAAGCCCAAAGGGCTAAGAGAATGGATAACGGGCGGGTTTCAAGGGAAAAGGGTAGCCCCAATATGGGATGAAGTCACTTCATCTCCATATGTTTATAATATGGAACAATTTCTTCCAGCTGAGGGACTGACCACCTAAAAAATTTTAAGGGGGAGGGCTGATTACATGTTTTCAAGTTCTTCTGTCTATAACTTTTCTGTACTTGACTGAAAAAGCCACGGGTTGGCGAAACGTTCATAAAAAAGGGAAATAACTGTTGCATAGTGTCTTACCTAACACACAAAAACGGGAAACCCGGAGAACGCGCTCAACTATGTAAAGGCATAATAACATTTCACCCCCCGACCCACCCCCTCATCCACCAAAAGTCACACAGGTACGGGTACACTTAAGTACAATCATTTTGTAAATTTCCTGGAAAACCCCAAAAAAAGGTAAAATAAAGTAACTTTTTCCATTGGGGTCGTCGAAACAAAATTCTCCTGACCGGGTGTGTGGTCACAAGATGCCCCCCCTCGCTGCCTTATATTATTAGTCAACCCCGTGCTAAATTCGTGTAGGTTTTTCAAAAACCCGGGAGAGGGTTTGGGGTCAACGCCCCCCGGCCCGGTCTGAAACCGGCCTAGGTGGATCGGGCCGATCGCCCAGGCTGTTACTGTTGGCTGCACGCAACCGATGTACAAACCATACCCCGGGGCCTTCTTGAAGACAGCCGGGGGGTCTTTTTGAAGACGCCATAGGGAGTGCTTGGACCGATCCTCCCCTTTAAAACCCTAAACGCAAATCGTT